ATAGCTAGCTAGCAGCCTAGTACGATCGAGGCGGGCGGGCGACCGGTGTGATGCGCGCGGTGACGACGATGATGCACGTTCGCGATCGATGCGGTCTTTGACGAACTCCCAAAAGTCTTCGGGCGGTAATAATGTAAGTATATATCTGGGTCGCCATGGGTGCATTTATTTGACTTTTTTCAGCAGCATCCTTAGACCGGCGACCTGGCATGCCGTGCTGCTAGAGTGTTTACGAAGTTACGATGCGCGCGCGAGCCAGGCGAACGAAGGTGTTTCTGTCCGGGGCGGCCCTGCGTACTACAGCTTCGCCCTGATTACACTAGCTTCGCCCCTGGTACAGATCAACGGGCCAGCACGACTGGGGCTTAGGCCGGTGAGACAGCATGTCGAAGAGGAGGCACGGCACGGCATGGTTGCCTGCATGCTCGTGCTTAAGCGAGCCCGCGTCTTGTCGGACCACATTGCCCGTTTGGCCACCGGCCATGGTGAGGTCATATACTCGATACGAGTAGTAGGCTCTGTTGTTATTATCTGTAGCGTGATCCGTGATGATTGGGAAAAAAACACTTACAACTAATAACAAGATTGTACTTAACTTTGTTTCCACGTACGTAAAAGAACGTGTCGACGCTTTTCTGATTATTAACCTTGTTGAGAAGCGAGAAAGTGTCTCTGGCTTTTGCTTTGACTTCAACACCTAATCAAAAAGCCTTGTCAAATGCACGTTAGAGCAAATTGGTTTCTAAAGCCAAAAGTAGTTGAAGCGCTCGCGTACAAATTCGCCATTAATCATGCAACAGGAAAAATATCGCGCAAAGCCTGACTTGAGCAAATCATACAGAAACTAAAATTTTCAACTCTTGGAAGGTAAAGTGAAGTAGCAACTGATTCAGCAACACCTATGTTCACACATATGTTGCAACAGTGTGTTCCAAGATGTTTTCAGTTATTTCAGTCTTATGTTGCAGCAAGTGGTTTCATGTTGTGAGTGTTATTTTTTTAGATGTTTCATGTGTTCCATACACATGCTGCAAGTGCATGTTCCAAGTGTTTCATCTGTTTCGAGACGTATGTTGCATTCAAATTTTTTTCATGTCGCAAGTGTTTTATGTTGTTCGGCCAGGGACGAGCCGAGGGGGAAGGAGGACGGTGCGCGCGGCGCGTCGAGGGGGCAGGTGGACGGATGCTCTAGTCGGGGGGCACGCCGAGTCCTGGCTCTCGAGTGCCGCCCATGCGGAGAGAGAGAGAAGCAGGTCTGAGGAATGACCGGCAGGCGCAGATACGGGGGCGTAGTGCGCACGTGGGGCGGGCAATCCAGACGAGGGGTGGAGCGATGGTGAATTGGGATGGGCTACGCGGATGTCCAGGCGCCACGTCGATAAATATAAGGAGCTCACACGGAACATGATTGTTTAGTACGCAGCAGGCTAGCCAACCGAATTTTTTATTTTTTAGCCCTTTTTTGAAAAAAAAATTCACAAATATGCCCCTGGAGGTAAAATTTCAAAATCTGGACCCTTAGGGGCTCGACGCACACATGGTGGTGACTTGGTAGGCAGCTCGGCGCCGTAGATCCTGGCGTCGAGCTTGGCGCCGTAGATCCTAGGGCCAAGCTCGGCGCCAGGATCTACGACGCCAAGCTCGGCCCCCAACCTTCCTGCCCGAGCCTTCTTCCTCTTCTTTCTCATCCCTCTCGGGTTTTTTCTCTCCCCACTTCGCCTTACCTCACGAATCGACATATTGGACCTTGAAAACTCTGATTTGATCCGTAGATCTTTGAGAGCAAGGTATCATCTCTCCCCTCCTAGTTTTTTTTCGCATCGATTCGGTATATATTAGTCGAATTTTTCAACATAAGAATCGTCATTACTTAGGGTTTCATGCAATTTTAAATATTTGTATTATACAACCGCAGGATGTCAAGGCGTGGAAAAGCTAGCAAACCAAGGTAACCGTAATGCATATTGTTATGTTACGGGTTCATTGTTGTGCATCAAATAGGAAACCCTAGGTTTAGGGTTTAATGTTAATTGCTTTTGGTTCTTAGAACGAAATTGATTGTATTATAGTTATGGTCGGATGACCAGAAATACCTTTGACACATTGCCTCTGTCTAGTGGTGTTCCAATGCCCATGTGCTTTTGCGGCGATCCTTGCAAGGTAGCCAAGTCCGATGAAGAGGACACATATAGGCAGAGGTATTAGATGTGTTCCAATTTTACGTTTGAGCCTACACTTCGTCAGCGCCGCATTAATAAGATGGTGAGGAATTGATGTTTGTGTCATATGGCATCTTGCATGATTTTTTTTTTATTTTGTAACAATTGCATTTTTTGCAGACCCCTCCACCGCTCTGTGATTTTGAGCAGTGGATCGACACTGAGATCAAGCCTGAAGACAAGGAATGGATGCAGAAACTGTTGCGGTGGGAGGCAGAGGACAAGGAGGTGATGAAGAAGAGACGCGGAGAGGAGGCTGCAAAAAGAGCACAAGAAAGAGGAGGAAAGGAGGCGTGTTGCTACGTACAGGGAGGAGAGAGAGAAGAAGCTTGAGCGTGCACGCCGAATGAAAGCAGCGATGGAGGAGAATCCCGATGCCCTGAGGAAGAGAAAGTGGCCTCGTTGCACTCAGTAGTCTCCATGACTTACTAGTTCTATGGTTTATTCATGAACAATGTTGTCTACTGTCGGCACGGGACTTCTAGTATTATTGTGTTGTTTAATGTGGTATAGTATTGGACTTTTCATTATGTGGTTGTTTTTATTATTTGTGGTCATAATATTCAGTATAATGTTGCGGACGTAGTGAAATATGATCACGTGCTGCAAACACAACCTAACGAAGTAGGACATTATATAATTCAACACACAAAACACATGAAATGGCATTTGACAACATATACCAAAATAGGGTACAGAGTTCCTTCGACTAAACCTAACATGTCTTAGGTAATTAAACCAAACAACAAACACATGGATGTGCCATGTGAATAAGATAGGGTCGTCCTAGTAGTGTGGCCACATAATAAATTATGTTGCACCTTCTCCACAGTAGCCTCCCATTGTTGGTGGTGGTGGCGGCGGCGGGGGTGACGGCGGAGGCTCCTTGTTTTTGTGGTTAAGGCAAGTGCAATATGGATCATTGCAGAGTGCCTCATGTGAATCAGCACCATTGTTGTTGTCATCCTGTCCTTCGTCCTTGTAACCGCAGATAATTTCCCTTTCTAGATTGAAGATACAGTCTTGCACCTCATCCTATAGAAGTAGTCATCGCACCCACACATGTAGCTCAAATGAAAAGGAAGTGTCCCCTCTCCATCGTACGGCTTCCACGACACCTGCAACATATTCAAATAAGATGTTAGATGATATATATACAGTGTTCTCACAAAATAGCTATGTCTATGTACCTATGTATCTATATTTCTATCTATCTACATATCTAACTATATCTATGTACCTATGTATCTATGTTTCTATCTATCTACATATCTAACTCACTAGATCACTAACTAAATCAACTACCTGAGTCATCACATTAACTGGTAAATAATAAATAATCGAACTACTACATTACGGTCAAAGCTAACTAAGCACCTATGTTGCATATTCATAATTTTTACCTGGCGCGGTCGGGCGCTACAGGGCCTAGGGCCAGCCAGTCACTGGCGCCGCGAGAGGGCCCACGAGGGCACGGCAGGGGCGGGGGCACTACAAGATGGGCATGGGGTCCAGCATGCTACCAAGGGCGCGAGACGGGACGGCCACCGAGGGCGAGGGTGCAGCCAGGACGGCCCGGCTCTCGCCCGTGGACGATGAAGCGCTGGGCCAGCCAAGGTGATGACGGCCGAGGGCGAGGTGTTTGTCTTGAGGGAGGGACAGTCTTGGCAATGCGTGATGATGAGAAAAGAAAGAGAGAGGAAGAGAGAAAGGAAGGGAGGGCCCATACGTGAGAGAGGGTTTGGCGCCAGGATTGTTGGCGTCGAGCTCGGCGTCAAGATCCACGGCGCCAAGATCCACGGCGCCGAGATGGCTGTCATGTCAGCGTCCATGCCGCTAACGTGGCCCCGAACTCGGCGCCAGCAACGATGACGCCGAGTTAAGGGTCCAGATTTTGAAATATTACCTCTAGAGGCATATTTATGAATTTTTTTCAAAAAAATGACTAAAAATAAAAAATTCAGGCTAGCCAACCAAACGCGGCACAACGGCGGGCACCCGGAGACCACGGCCACATGGAAGTCGGCAGAGCTCGGCCTGCCTTTTTGTGTAGTGTAGCCCCTCGGAGAAAACAAACGCCGAGAAAAGTCTGAAGAGAGATGGTTGCATGATTGATGCTAATAATGGCCGGGAGGCACGTACTATCACGTGACCGGAACGTTGCCCACTCTTTCCGTCCGTCCCCTGACAAAAAGGCCACCATAGGGCCAAGTCACGTGCTGGACCACACCCACCATTGTCGGCTCTCTGTCTCTCGTTTCCTCCCTCCGTTGAAACAGGGAAGGAAAAAGAAGCATGGAGTAGTGAAAGATTGAATGACGAAGAAACTGATCAACATTCAAAGTATTAACATGGTTTCGTTTTCTTTGAAAATTGTTGAGCTTCTCTGCTGTCACTCAACTAAGAAGACGGCACGCGCTCAGGTCGTACACCATTGGGGGTAGTACGGACGGAACGCGTGCCTAACTAATATGCTTGCTAAATCACAATCATGACCGTTAATTCGTGTACTCGATACATGACGGGTTTATATTAGGACGAGCATGGTTACTGACAAATTAATGATCATAACTTATTAGAAGCAGGGAAGAGGTATAGGTACCAACAATTTAATAATTAATTAACAAAAAGAAAAATGAAAATATCTGGAATTAATACGCAGGGAAAGAAAGGAAGAAACGGCAGAATTTCGCAAAAAGGATCTAAGCTCCGCATGCAATGCAATGCAGGACGCGATCTTCCTCCGTGCCGGACTGCCGGTTGCCTTGCCTTGCCGAGCAGCTAATACACGCCGTAGTCACGGAACATGAGCTCCGGCCCCGGCTCGCCGGATCCTGCAGCCGCCGCCGCCGCCGCGGCGTCACGGTGGCTTCCGCGGATGAGGATGAGCTCCTTCTGGCGGCGCAGCTCCACGACCTTGCGGTGCGAGTTGGAGTGCTGCGTGAGCACGAAGGTGGGGCTGGCCGCCGGCCGGTACTCAGGCATCAACCGTCCGGACTTGAACCGCACGCCGCACGCGTTGCACAGGGTCTTGGGGCCCAGCGGCCCCGACCGCCACTGCGGCGTCTTCTCCGACGCGCAGTGCGTGCACCGACGCACGCCGCCCTCGTCCATGCCCACCTCCCCAGCCGCGGCCCCGCCCGGGCTCTTGTTGCCGCGGTTGCCGCCGTTCGGGCGTGCCGGCTTGTTCGACGACGACGGAAAGTCCGAAGACGACGAGCAGGACGATGATAATGGAGACGACTGCGATGGTGGGCGCGGCACGAGGGAGTGCCACGCCGCGGAAGCCGCGGCGGTCGCGCGGCCGGACCGCTTGCTACGCGCGCCGCGGCCAGGCGCCGTGGTGACGCAGCTGTCTTGACCGGCCGAAGTGCCTTCTCCATTGCCTGCCGTGTTAGCAGCCGCAGCCGCTGCCACTGCGGCATGCGCGGCCGATGAGTAATTCGGCATGTCGGAGTAGGAGTCGTCCACGAACTTGGATAGCCACTCCAGCTCGGCAGCTTCCTCTCTCTGAATCATCATATATATACCGCAATTGTTTAGCGATCTCATGCATCGAAACCTCTCTAATAAGTACAGTAGGTAACACATTCATGTATATATTTAATTTAATTTTGATATGTACTCACGGGTATGTAGAACTCATCGGCGAAGGAGAGGAGCGACGACGTCTGGTGATCCGACGAGTTGGCGGTGGGTGATGGTTCACCCACCATGGCCCCCGAGTGGTGTCCCTGCTTGTCAGTGGCCGCGGTGGGGAAGAACTCGTGGGCGCCAGCGCCGGTGGAGAGGTCGTCCACGCTCATGGCGTCGCCCATGGGCGGCATCCCGTAGTAATGGTGGTGGTGCGCCGTGGAGTAGCAGGCGCCGCCGCTGTGGTGACTGCTCATCGGCGCCGTGGTGATGCTGGAGGCGTTGTGGTGGTATGTGCCCATTCCCATGCCGAGATCCACCCCCATGGCCATTTCCCACTCCGACGCCATCGATCGCCAACACAAGAGCTAGCTGCCTAAGAGCTAACCGTACGACGTACTGCTACTTGATTGGCACAGGGCATCAGTTCCTTGAAACGAGCAAGTGACCGTGCTCGTTCCAGTACGAGCTAGTACCTGCTGGCCTTGTGCTAGTCTCAGTGACGAGAGTGAGTGCGTGTGAGTGAGGGAGTGTGTGTGGAGTGGAGTGACGAGAGGGGGAAGAAGTAGTGCTGGGCTCTGGGGGTCGGGGGCTCCAGTCACTTTATCACCAGTAACAAAGGAAGGGGTTGTTGCGAAGTGAGGTGATGGGAGGAGACTAGAGAGAGGTGGAGCTAGCCGGTGGCACCAGTGCATGTGTGGCACCAGTGCATGTGTGTAACGAAACCCAAACACAAAATGCATGTTGTATGTTACATAAAACTATGTTTTGACAAAAGCTGTAAAGATAGCATATTAGGGAGGTGCAATTACAGTGCTGCTGCCCGATCGTGTGTGCATGGGGTGTATTGAATTAGATTAGAGTGCAGAGGGTCTTCTATTTGGGTCATATTTGTTGGAGAGGGTCTAAGATAGCGAGGAAGCTGCAGGGCCTGCAGCCCAGCACGGCAGCAGCAGGCCCCAACGTGCCCCGTCGCATGCACTGCATCCATCCACTCTCTCTCTGCCCACCCACATTCATATGCTCATCAGCTCCACCACCACACGTCTCACACGCAGTCATTCACACACTGCACTACTCTCTCCCCTCCTTAGCATAATTCCGTTAGCTACTGGCTGTACCAGTACCAGTAGCAGCAGTCCCAGTATTTTTTTTAATAAAAAGAAGAAAAAAAACTGAAGAAAGAGACGGGGAAGAAATAAGAGAATCCGGTTACTTTTAACCGCAATGCGTGCACACGACCACGTGACTCCATGAGCTGTAGCCTGTGCAACTGTCCATGGGAGTGGACGCCGAAGCATCCTGACCTGGCGGAAATCAATGCTGCTCGCCTCGCAGGGGCATTCGTACGCTAACGCAGCAGGCAGGGGCAACCGGGAAAAGGTCTGCCACGCATGCACTGAGAATGGTTAATCGGTCAATTTCCTCTGTCCATGCGTCGTCCCGCTCCATTCGACGGAAGTACAGAGTATTTTACCGCCGTTTTTTGGTAGATGGTTTCCTGAGCCGACTAAGCTGATTTGTTATAAGAAAAAAAACACTGTTTTATGATTGATAAGTGAGTCTGATAAGCCTAACGATCAATTACTGGTGCCGGTTCTTACGATGACAGATGTAGGCCGGCCGGGCATGTGGTACCTTCTCGTACGGTGACTTGATCAGGCTCATTGATTATTACTCGCTGTAACACACGGTTTGCCCAATTAACTGGGGTGGGGTAGCCAGCTTTTGCTAGCTTGCTGCAGGTTGAAACTTGAAAAGAAAGCTTCCACGCATACTCTCTATGTGCATCACGTAGTAGCCAGTACTGCGACAAAGCCCGACAGTACTAGACATGTTGAGTTGTTGACACATGGTGCGTCTGACACACGGAATATTGATACGTGAGCTTAATGATGTGAAGCTGTCGTTTTAGTACGCGCTAGCTAGCTCTCTCCCACCCCGGCCCCCTGTCTCCCTCTCATGTGTCATGTAGGAGGAAAGTACTACTACGAGCTAGTAATAACATTTAGCTGAAGCCAGGATCTGCTTAGATTTCTCACGATTAAAGTAACTGCAAGTTAGTTAGTTAAAGAGCCTGTGTTAAACTTTTAACCTACTCGTACACTAGCTACATGTGGATATACGTACGTACGTGAGTTTTGATTTCTCTGTAACCAGCAGCAGCTCAAATAACTGGTACTACGACTACTCCAATATCACACATACCTGCTACGGCTGCTAACACTAGACTAGACTAGATGGAGTAGCTAGTGGGACTGTAGTGAGAGCAAGTTCACGGAATCATCTAGTCAAACTCTGCAAAAACTAACTAATAATAATGATCTCGATCGAGTGCGTGGGCTGCCTCAATATATATTTGGATCGATCGATCGATCGTCAAGGAAGAAATTAAATAAACGGTGTGCCGGCCGGCCACACCGTGTGATATGATCGATCACACCGTTAGGTACGTACTCCAGTTAGTTGTATCCCTTTTTCAAATACACGTATATATATGATGTTTATTTATACCTAATTACAGTTCGGTTTAAAGAAACTGTGGAGAATTATTGGGTTTCGACAAGTGGAAACTTGTCATGATCGAGCCATCGCCAAGGGACCGTTTGTCAGTGACAGCTCCCGATCTGACGAGTAGATAATAAATTAGCTTGTGGAGATTATTATGAGGTGAACCACCAATGGGTACGTTGTGCGCAGGGAACGGAGGTCGCCGCTGGAGTGGCGTTTACGCTCAGAGTTTGGATAAGATATAAGATATGAAGATAATAATAATGTTACTGCAACATACTAGGAGTAAGGCCCTGTTTAGTTCCTCCTCAAATCCAAAATATTCTGGATTTTGGCCCAGCATTCTGGGAAATGGATCTAAACACCACCCTGGATTTTTTTGGAAAAGATACCCATTCTGAATTCTGGATTTTGGAGTCTAGAAGTCAAAATAAGCCCAAATTGGCCCATCTCCCCACTAATTCCACCTTTCTCCCCGACTCTGCACGGAGCCGGGCCGGGCACGGAGCCACCACCACGTCACTCTTTCTCCGAGTGCAGGAGCTGCCATGGCCGTCGCCGCGCGCTTCACCGCCGAGCCCAAACCCTACCCCCACACACTCGGCCATTGCTGCTGCGCCTTCACTCGTCCGGAGCCCGACTGAACCCTACCCTACCTCCGGCCGCCGCGCGCAAGACAGAGCCACCACCGCCACCTCTTTCTACTCGCATCACAGGAGCCGCCGCGCGCCTCTCCCACCGCCACCTCTCCTCCCCGATCTACCCTCTCCTCCTCGGTTCCGGCCCGAAGCTTGCACGTGATGGAGACGAGTACAACAATGACGTCTTCTTCCACGGCGATGACGACGAGGCCACGTTGATGGCCACAGCTCTGGCAACATCGACGCCACGAGGACTTCGGAGTCATGGGATGAGCTCCCCTCGGCCGGCAGAGTATCAAGGCTCTGATCGTGACATCACTTAGTCCCAACAAGAAGTCCAAGTCCAAAAGCCAAGCTATCAAGCTAATGGACAAGGTTATCGGTGAGCAAACCAGATTGGTGAAGACAGAATAAGATGATGGAAAGACACGTTGAACTCGCAGGAAAGGAAGGATAATCGAAATGAAGGCAATCATGAAGAAAAGATACAGGAAGAAAAGAGAAAGGAAGAGGAAGATGAAGTTGAAATTTATGCGTTGATTATGGCAAGGGACTGTGGTGTTCAAACCAAATAATATAAAAGTAAAATCTACAATCACCTCTAGTCAGATCTAGCAAGGACAAGAAGACTATAACTTTCTTCAAGAAGACAATATCCAGATGCAAGGAAGGGGTTCATTGAATACTATGCCGGTGTCAACAACTAGTCAAATGTGTCAATGTTCATCATCATCCAGAGGCATGTGTGTGTCATTTGAACTATGTGATGTGTGTGTCATTTGAAATAAGTCATGTATGTGTGTGAATTAAGTGATGTGTGTGATTGAAGTTATTACAACACAGTCGGTACTATGTGAACTAAGTCATGTATGTGATGTCCATGACTCACTATTTATTGAATACTTGCATGTATGTGATGTGTGTGTCATTTGAACTATGTGAACTAAGTCATGTATGGATGTCGGCTGAAGATGTCTTGGCTCACTATTTATTGAATACTTCCAGATTTAGTACTCACTATTTATTCTGAGCTGCTTAAGTTATTTTGAATGGTGTCACTACTAACTATTTCATATCCAATTTGTCAGGTACTTGAGACAACAATGGATGTGAGCAGCTCAAGCAAGTCAAGTAGCTCCAGCAGTTCAAGTAATTCCAGCAGCTCTGATTCAAGTGATGATGAAGTAACCAAAGATGCTTGTGGATGATGAAGGTTCTCATTTAACTAGTGGTATGCTTCTTTTTGCTCTCACGATATCTGAAAAATATCTATCTAGATCAGCGTACGAATACCATTGGTACACGAGATAAAGTGGGTAGAGAGAAAGCTATCAAACAGAGAGAGATGCTACAAAATGTTTAGGATGACCCCAACTTTGTTCTCTGAGACTCCATGAAAAGCTAGAGTCTTATGGCCGCGAAAATCCACTAATAAGTGTTCCTCTATTAAAGCATTAGGAATGTTCTTGTGGATGGTTGGAGCACCACAGTCGATTAAGCCGGCTAGGCGGGATGAGGATAGATTTGAGAGGTCACTAGGTACAATGCCTAACGCATAACAACTTCATGAAAGTGTTGAAATATGTTTGCAAGCTAGTCACTCCAGAAATCATCTTTTACCGCCGTTTTTGGGACCCAAGTTTCAAAGATATGCATCCTAGATTGCGATAATCCCGATCAATTCTCTCCCTTACGATGACAATTGTATTGGAGCAATAGATGGCACTCACGTACCTTGAATCGTAGGTGAGGATTTGATGGTTCAACACATGTGATTATTACATTACAACCCGTAACGCCATGGCTTGCTATGATTTTGACATGAGGTTTACATTTGTGCTTCTTTGGATGGCTTGCATGACATGAGTATTCAATGATGCTATGGACAAATGGAGCAATAAGTTTCCACATCCACCATCGTACACATTGTTGTAGTTGAGGTAGTTCTGCGACCTATTTGAGTTAATGGAAGCTAACTAGAGTTCATAATTGTGCGTTGTTTTACCTAGTGGACTCTGGTACCCAAACCGTCCGGATACCTTGCACCGCTTCAAGGAACCAAATATCATCTTAGTACGCGCTAGCTAGCTCTCGGAGCCCCCGGTAAAAATGAAATATTCAACTTCACATGTTCATCGCTTAGGAATGTGATAGAGAGGTGTTTTAAGTTAGCTGAAAATGAAATGGAGGATTCTGCT